AGCCACACACTGCTAAATATTTATCAGCACATAAATATTTCAAAAGAAATGTGAACAGCTATTGATGTAATTTAATCTCAGTGCTCCATGAAATGAGGAATGCACCTTTCTATAGGCACCAAGATGAAGGGTTCGGAAACCGATGATGAATAAAACAATGGAAAACGCATTTCCTACCCCTGCAACATCACTTGTTTGAGGCTTCAAAACGATACACTAAATTTCAAGGTCACAGAGACTCACCGCTTCATAGCAAGAGCAGAAATATACTTGTTGGAGACCCCTGGAAGGGTCACAGCTGAAAACAAGGATCACAGCTGAAAACAAGGGTCAAAGGAAAGGCTCTCTCCTTAGTCCTTTTACTTCAGACAGTCAAGTGTGTAGAAAAGAGAGTGGGCGCAGAATCCAAATTCTACAAACTCATGGAAAACCACATGAGGGTGAGTGGTTTCCATGGAGTTCACCAGCTCTAAAATGCTTGAACAAGGAGGCAGCCATCCTTTGAAGTAAAAAGGGGAGGAGTACATTTAAAACCTGGATGAGAACAATTTTCCATCCGAGCAGTAAGTAGTTGTTTGATTGTTCGGTTGGGTCATACAGCAGTGTATTTTCTCACCCGTCTATTCCTTCAATAGATACAGCCTGAGCAATCTACAATGGCTCCATTTGCAAAAATATGAATACATAAATAAAACCATGAAGAAAAGGAAGAGAACGCCTTATTTCAAAAGGTGACACAAAAATACCAACATAATTTAAAAAACGATAACATTAAAATGGTTAGATAAAACCGTGGTGGCAGATCCCTAACAAAGGGAACTTTTAGGATCGAGTCCCACATTGGTAATGTACTTTCTCTCCCAGTCTTCCTTCGGGGGGCTCACTAAAAGTGCTGGGTGAATGCTCAGCTCTGGCACTGCCCCTGCCCACCACCCGTTTTCTGGCTTTTTCATCTCCTGCACTCACTCCAGCCATCCAGCCAGCTCCTTGGAGATCCCTTAATGAGCTACGCCATTTGGGGCCTTCCCGCACATCTTGCTCTCAGCCCAGGAGGCCATTCTCCAACCTGTCCACCGGGCAGGCCCCTTCTTCCAAGCTCACTCTCACTAACACCTGCGCTGCAGACCCTCCCACCCTTCAAGCTCCTACCTGACTTAATTCTCACCTCTTTCATAGCACTTATGGCTTGAACTGCTATGTTTAGTTTGTTTATCTCCTCTACTGAAGATGATGTTCCTGAGGCAGGAAAAGGAGTGTGTTGAATTTCCATACCTCTGGGGCCTCGGTGGTGCCTCAGGCACATTCACAACTCGATAAACATTTATGGAATGAGTCAAGGGCCACTGAGTCTTTTCATGACTCGACCCTTCCTGTGGCAGAGAGAATACAGACTTGAGGTAAGAAGGGAGGTAATTCTAACCATTATGCATCAGACATTTATTTAGCATCCGCTGTGTGCCAGGGAGCCTGAGGTCCATTAGTGAGCAGGGTAAATGAAAACCCCTGCCCTGTGAAGAGCTCATGCTCTTAGCTGGGGAGATAGGCACCAAACAAGAAACATAATAAAGAAATAACATGCTTTGCTGAAAGGCTTTAAGAGGTAAGGGGAAAAGATATAAGTAGAGCTGGATAAGGGGGACTGGGATGTGTGAGTTAGGATTTTAAATCGTGTGATCAGGAAAATAGAATCTGCCAAATGGATGATGAGAAGGTTATATTTGGGCAAAGACTCTGAGAAGGAGAGTCCATTAGACTTGGGGGTACATGTGGATGGGCTTTCAGGCACTGGGAACATTCAGTATAAAGACTTTAAAACCAAAGCAGGGGGGGTCAGTGGGGTGGGCTAAGAATGAGTTAGAAAGACGTGTGCTTAGACAAGAGGTGAGGGGAGAAGGGTGACAGATCGTGAAGGCTTTGTAGGTCATTATAATAAAACTTAAGCCACTTAAGAAAGTCCCTTAACCTCTGAACACCAGTTTTTCGTTTGTGAAATGGAGATAATCGGGTCTTTCTTGTAAGTTTGTTATCAGTAACATGTGCTAACATATATGAAAAAGCATCGCAACCTAGAAACTACTGTACAAAAAATAAATTACACTATTTATCACAAGCTCAAAGATTCCCACAACAGATTCTACAAAAAAATAGTTTAATATGAGCCCTGGCTGGTGTAGCTCAGTGGGTTGAGCACAGGCCTATGAACCAGAGGATGGCGGTTCAAATCCCAGTCAGGGCATATTCCTGGGTTGCAGGTTGGTTCCCTGCAGGCCAGTTCCCAGCAAGGGATGCACGAAAGGCAACCATACATTGATATTTCTCTCCCTCTCTCCTTCCCCCTAAAGATAAATAAATAAATGAAATCTTAAAAAAAAGAAATAAAAAATAGTTTAATATATATTTTGTGTTCATGTTACCTATTCATATGTATATGTGCTAAATCCTTTATTAGGTTATAATACCTCCTTACAGATATGTGATCATACCACTGCCTCCTTCCACCTTGTTCTCTGAATTATATGTGACTAATGGACACTCAAAAGGTTTTATTGGCAGATAGTCTCTTCTTCTGCAGTTCCAATAACAAGCAAATAGTCACTACTTTTCAGCCCTGGCTGGTGTAGCTCAGTGGATTGAGCACGGGCTGAGAACCAAAGGGTCAGTGATTCGATTCCCAGTCAGGGCACGTGCCTGGGTTGCAGGCCGGGTCCCTAGTGGAGGCCATGTGAGAGGAAACCACACATTGACCTTTTTCTCCCTCTTTCTCCCTCCCTTCCTCTCTCTCTAAAAATAAATAAATAATCTTAAAATATATTTTAAAAAGCCTCTTTTCACCTATGCTATGTCTAAACCTCCATATTGTAATCCATGCTTAATCCCATATATTCTACCCTCCAAAGTCACCATGAACTGTCAGGTCAGCCCATTGACTTAACAAAAGCCTTTATCACATTGACTTAACAAAAGCCTTTATATCATTGTTACCAAACTCTCTTCAGCTGCAAGAGACAATCCTTGGTTTTCGATCTAAAGCTGTCCCCAATTGCATCCCAAAAGAAGCAGAATTAACTCCATTCTCAGCTCTGGGAAGAAAGGAGGAGCGCCTGCTGGCTCTATAGATTCCCGGAGCCAAGGAGTTCCAGAGGGAAGCCCATCCCTGTCTGGGCAACGGAGAGGGATGCGGTGCATCAACATAAAATGACCAGAGGAACATGGAGACAGAGGAAAAGAAGGACGGGGGTGGGGACGCCAGAATCAAAAGAAAGTGGAAGTCCAGTGTGCCCAAGGCCCTGACATTCCCTTAGAAGACCGATGAGATGTTCTGGTCTAGCCTGATGCCTAACAAGAAGTCTTTACTTAATAAGGAAGTTGGCATTAGCTCCTAACAAAACACCTTTAAAAGCTGAACGGATGGTTAGGAAGGGCTGGCTACCTCTCGGTATCCCTCCTTGAAGCCTGTGAATCTGTCTGCCTGATCTGCCCTCCGCTCAAAGTAATTCTATATTCTTTTCTTGAGGTTTTTAAATCAGTAGATTCAGTTCAACGCACATTTTAGGCTTAACAAAAAAATGTTAGTGTAGGACACCTCTCCCAGGCTTTACCGGTATGATGTGGCTTTGGTGGAAGAGCCCTAGGAGGGCTCAGCAATCCTCCGGATCCGGGTAAACACGTGTGCCCGCAGCCAGCGCCAGCACACCCTGCGTTTCAGCACCGCCGCCTCTGGATAGCGCCCTGCGGGAAGCCCAGGTCGGGCCTCCTATGGTCACTCATCCATCTTCAGCCCACTCGTTCTCCTCCTCTCTTTTCCCTCAGGACCAGCGGGGGCGGGGGAAGCACCCCCCAACTTCTAACCTCTCTTTAAGCCTGCTTCTAAAGTGACCTCCGCGTCCCTCCCTCAGGATCTAACCGCGCACGCCCCCGCGCCTTTGGGTCCTACCCGAGCAGCAGCAAAACCGCATGGTTTACCCAGCGGTGGTCCGAGATCTCCGACAGGCATCGGTCGTCTTTTCCTTACCCCAGCTAATCTCAAACCAGCAGCTAGGAGCCCCCGCCCGGTCTCTCTGTCTCCAGGTCCAAAGCCTCCAAGAAACAAACGGCGCGATTATGCGCCTTGCCCCCGCCCCAACTTGAGCGCGCGCGCGCGCACACACACGCATACACACGAATTCAATACACACACTCGCACGCCGCAAGCCTCTCGGGTGCTATCGTCGCCCTGGGCAGAGAGTCTCAGCCAACTTGGGTCCGGACCCACCACACACCAGTTCGCAAAGGGCCGCCTGCAGTGGCAGCCCCGCTGCCTCCCCTTCCAGGGCAGCCGGGGTCCCCGCAGCCAAGCCCAAGCTGGCCAGCAGTCCCCCCTCACCCCACCCCATTCATTCAGCCATCCGATCTCCCGCGGGCAAAATACGACGCACCACCCTCAAACCTTTCGATCCTGGACCGCCCCAACCACTGTCCAAACCCGGAATTAATCTCCTGGAAGCCCCAGCCGTGTTGCCGGAGTGTGGTGAGTGTGTGTTTGTGCCTCCGATGCACATCCATTATTTAACTCCTTCGAGCTTCGCGCCCAGCCTAAACAAACAGCACGTTATCTCCGTCTCTCTCCTCCCTTCTCCGCGCCCAGCCTCGGCCCCCATCTCGGCCCCCATCTCCATCCTTTTCAGCCAAGGATCCAAACCACGGAACATCCGCACCCCAGTTCTCCGAACCTCGACCGAGTCCACACCAACAACACTCACCTTCCTCCCTTCCCCTCCCCCACCTCTTGGTCCCCGCAAGCCGGTCTGGCCGGAGCAAGAGACGCCTGGAAAGCGCGGTCTGCGTCCCCTCCCGGGAGCCCGGGATCCAGGGATCCAGGACCTGACTTCCGACGCGCGGGGTCAGCCAGAGCACCCCTCCGAAGGGCCACGCGCCTCCCAGCTCCGTCGCCCTGGAAAACACCGGTGCCGGGGAAAGCAGAGAGGCGGAAGCAGCCTCCGAGGGTGGGCGGGAGGACTCACCGAACATCTGAATGTGTCCTTTGGTGATGGGGTTGAAGCTGCCGCAGGCGAGCAAGATAACGTGGGTCTTGGTGGTCTCGGTCATGGTGCCGGTGGGCGCCTCGCGCTGGTCTTGGGGTCGCTTCTCTTTTTGTGTCCGGATGCCTGCAGAGGGAGAAAGGAAGGCGAGGCTCCGGCTCGGATGCTGTGGACTCCAAGGAGCCGCTCCAGACGCAAACCGCGTCACTCCCGCCTCCCCTTAACGCTTGCGTCTCCGGCAAGATCCGAAGCCGCTTTTGTACTGCTCTGCTCGCTCATTCTCCTTTCTTTTTGGCTTCTCACGGTCTCTCGCCCTTCCTTTCTCTCGCCCCCACCCCACCTCGCCCCGTCTTGTTCTCCGTATGTGTTTATCTACAAGACAGAACGTGGTACCCAAGTCCAGGACCAGGAATACTCACAGTATGGTGTGAGCTCTTTCTCTCTCTTACCTCCTTCTGATTCAGTTTTTCTCCCTCATTCTAACATTTTTCTGTCCACACCTACTTTCTCTAACCCTTCCAACAACTCCCAACGTGTTTCATCTCAAGAACTGTTTCTCTCTTCCTCAGGGTTTTAAAGGAGAAACCACAACTGTTCATTTCAGGAGTATTTATATCTGCCTTTGTTGGTTTTTTCCCCCCTTACCTGATGATTTTGAATTATTGAACTTAGCCAAGAAATAGGGGAAACTTCAATCCTTCCCCTGGTCCTTCTTGTGGGTCAAAGCCACCACGCGATCAGACAGACAGGACATGGGTGGGGCAGAGTTAACTGAAGCCATTCTGTAAAACGATGGAGATCTTGCCTGAGTGAAGGAAGATGAGACAAAGAGTTGCCCATTCAGCAAGTGTTTCCTGAGTGCTCACTGTCGTGTTAGACTCCATTGTAAACCCTGCAGATAAAGCCGAGGCCCTGTCCTCATGGAGCTTACATTCTACGGAAAGGAAACAGACAATACACAAACAGATAAAGAAAATATTAGAAGGCAGTTGTGCGGCGCTCAGTGAGTGACTGCAATTTAGGCTCCGACTGTGGTTGGAAGAAGGGGGACTACTTTAAATGGGGGAAAAGAAGAAGAAAGTCATTTGTCTTCTGGAAATTTTCAAACGCATGCAAAAGTAAACAGCATGATATAGTGAACCAGTTACCCAACTTTAATAATGATCAATTCATTGACAGACTTGACTCACTGATAGCACTGTCCATAATAATTCTGGACAGAGAGGCTCCACAAGTACAATTATCTACGTGTGGAGCTTTCCTGGGCTCCAAGATTCTTGGGTAAATGGCTACCCTTCATTAGTGAGTTGGTCATTGTTTCTTATCCAAAAGCATATAATAGGAGCGCAAAAAAATTTGTTAAATTATGCTGACTAGCAAATCAACCCTAATATGCATACATTTTTCCAGTTTCAATACAAGAGTCCTAAGAATTGATGTAAATCAGTAGTGGAGTTTGTATCTTCCCTGATATAGAACGCAGATTACCGAGGCAGAAAGGGCGAGATGTTGAAGGGAGGCTGCCTTGGGTATGAAACAAAAACAATGGCTGGGCAATTAACATAATTACAGTTAAGCAATAAATATTCATTGAGGTCTGCCATATGCCAGGGACTTGATTTAGGGGCTTTGAGCAAAACAAAGTCCCTGCTTTAGTATAGCTCCCATTTTAGAGGGGAAGACAGACCATAAAAATGAATACTAATGGTAATAAACACCATAATGAGAAAGGAAGCAGAGGAAGAAAAAAAGAAAGAGAAATCCTCCCGTATTTAAGGTGATCAGGAATGGGCCTTGGATAAGAAGGTATTTGAGTCAGGATCCTAAGGAAGTGAGGGAATGTGTCACTTGCTAATTGTATGGCTTTGGGCAAGTCATCTACTGCTAAGGGTTCATTTTGTCAACTGAAGATACTGTATCAGATGCCCTGTGTACTATACAGGGGTACAATATGGATCAAATAAGACCAGCTGTGAGTAAGTGACTTTTTAAAAAAGCATATTGTGAGCTTTAGGTCAAACTTCACAGTTGTTACATTTAAAAACAGGTTGTGTGTGTGTGTGTGTGTGTGTGTGTGTGTGTGTGTGTTTAGATTTTTTTTTATTGGTGGCTTTGTCAAAGATGTTCTGGAAGTTCCAATCTTAGGGAGGTAATGGCTTTGGGAATATGATGCGTATATATATTCTGCCTGTCTGATGGTGTGGTGATCTCAACCCACAAAAAGGACCAGGGGAAGGACTGAAGTTTTTTCTATTTCTTGGCTGAGTTCAATAACTGAAAATCGTCAGATTAGGGGAAAAAAAGCAACAAAGGCATATATAAATACTCCATCAGTTGATCTGTGTGTGTGTGTGTGTGTATTGCCAAAAACATGTTAACAACAAATTTATTTTCAGCTAAGATTCCAAGGCTGACTTACAAGATATAGAAATAGGAATGTTAACTCTTATATAATACATGTACCTTAATATATATATAGTGAGCTATTCTCAGGGGCGCTTATTTTAACTCAGGTAATATAATTTGCTCCAATATTTCAACTTTCCAACAGCTGGGTAATTGCTTTAGGCTGAAAAGGAACCAGAGTCATTATCCCACAGCCTCAACCTTGCAATCTGCTCCAGCCAGTTCAGTTTCCAAGTGGCTCCAGGCAGGCAGTCCAACCCAGAACTTTCCCTGCTATAAATACCTGCTCTGATGAGCAGGCTTAAGTCTCACTTGGGTCTGACGTGAAATGTGCCTATGTAAAGTCTAGCAGCACGGGTATTTATGCTCACTTATCTCCCTATTCACCTAGTCTGGATTAATCATCCATTTGCATCACAAATCAGGATGAAACCATTCCATGTTTACAAAGCTGGCTTCCAGAGTGATGCTAAGGATGATCCTTTATAAGAAGAGCGAAAAGGCACAGACCATGATGTAACTCCTTCAGATCCTGAGATCAAGTCAGATAGTGAACATTCATTTTATGTTTTCCTGGTTAAAAACAAATATTGCTGTGAGAAATGACTCTGAGAAATCCCAGGACTGTTTGGAATGCTCTACCATTCTGGATCTCACATAGTCCTCTCTCTTCTGCTTCCTCCACGACTCTCATCTTAGGGAAATGGCTAAAATGATTGGTGTCACCCTCCCCGTCTTCTTCAAAAGCAAACATTTCTACATCCGTGGAGTGAAAAATGTCCTAGATCATGGTCCCCCTTCCTTCAGCTCTAGATCCCCCAAATCTCACTCAGATTCATAATGTCTCTAATTATTCAAATCATAGTTCACAAGTGAAAGTTTCCAAAATGCGCCCTGGCTGGTGTGGCTCAGTGGATTGAGCATGGGCCTGTGAAGCAAAGGGTTGCCGGTTTGATTCCCAGTCAGGGCACATGCCTGGGTTGCAGGCCAGGTCCCCAGTAAGGGACACATGAGAGGCAGCTACACACTGATGTTTCTCTCCCTCTCTTTCTCCCTCCTTCCCCTCTCTCTAAAAATAAACAAATAAAATATATTTTTTTTAAATGTGAGACCTGGCTAGCAATGAAAAACATGGAGATACAGCTGGTACCACAGCAAAAGGTACAAAAGCACACAAGTATTTATAACTGATAAGCACTGTATACTATTAAGAATAACAAATTTCTTCAGCTAATTCAGATATTTGGTGATTTATTTATCATGGCTTCTTTCAGATATTTGGGGGAGCGGCAGGCACAAATCATTATTTTTATCTTGTGCCTAAAGAGCTCACTACTAAAAAAAGTTTTCCCAAGAGCAGAAATAGGAGACAGGCAAATCAGTTCTATCAGACTTAGGAAGAATTATAATTGATAAGAAGTCAAAGTATCCCTTGAAATGATAGGTGAGAATGTCTTTGCCTCTCTCCTTTAATTCACTCAAATGGAAAAATATATTTGGTTCAAGGGAGTCTTAAATAAAGGATAGGAAACTTAAAATACAATTTTTTTCATTATGTCAATACCACATAATTTGGTTAGGTCAGATCTAATCTAGAATTTTAATCCCACAATTCCCCAGATTTTTAAGATGCAGAAATTAACAGTGGTGCAGCTGAGCTACCCTAAAAATTTGCTGGTGATAACCAGTCTCAGAGAAAATGAAGGGATAATAAAAATTTTGCGCCAGTTCAGCCCTGGCTGGTGTGGCTCAGTGGACTGAGTGCTGGCCTGCAAACAAAGAGCTCACTGGTTCAGTTCCCAGTCAGGGCACATGCCTGGGTTGCAGCAGGTCCCCAGTTGGGGGCATGTGAGAGATAACTAACTGATCGATGTTCTTCTCACGCATCCATGTTTCTCTCCCTTTTTCTCCCTCCCATCCCCTCTGTCTAAATGTAAATAAGTAAAATCTTTCAAAAAATTGTACCAGTTGGCTTCAGTCTTCACAACCCATATTCATTCTATTGCTGCCATTGAGGTGACTGAAGGTTGGTAGCTGCACGTTTTCCGATTTTCATGAGTTTCTTGTATTATGGAAGAATCCATAGTAGACACCCTATTCAAACTCAAGGGAGCCAGAGAGAGAACTTACTGATCTATGTGATTGGGAAGTGGTTTTCTGTTCTTCTACGAGATGGGCAGCCAAGTGGGGCCACAAGGGGAGGCCCAGGAGAGGCTGGGGGCGGGGAGTGGAGTTTCTTAGCCTCATGGGTCCTGGAGATAGGAGATGTGACATGCCACACGGGGCCAAGCAGAATAGCATCAGGCTGGTCAGGAGGCAGAAGACAGGAGGGAGGGGACAGCTTAGGCCAACTTGAGTATCAGAGTTTCCACAGCAAGGGCAATGTGGGGCAGGGTAAATGAACAGTGTAGGACTGGCTGATTTGAATAATTTTGGAGGGTTTTGGGCTATTTAATGGTTCCTAGCTGGGACCCTTTCCTGGCCCCAGGATGACAAAGGCAGAGAAATATTGCCTGCTGGAGTTTCTGGGCCAAAGGGAGGAGGTCTGCTCTGGATTAGCTTGCATATTCAAGGCATGCCACTCGCTAGGCCTTTGCTATCTCTAAGAATTGGGTAGCGTCATCATGTATGGGGAGAAATATAGATGATCATTTATAATTTTATACGCATATATATAAATTTTCAGAAGTCTAAAGGGTAGACCTAGCTTTAGACACAATCGTATCCAAGAGTTCAAACAGTATTGTCAGGACCTCACTTCTTTCTCTCACCTTCTCTCCATTTACTTTCCTTTGTCATTGTTTTACCTTTAGGTGGGTGCTCCTTCCATCAAAGAAAAGTGACTGCTGGCAAGCTCAAATGACATGGTCCTTACAGATCAAATCCTATGGAAAGAGGGCACATTTTCCCCAGGAATGTCAGGAAAGATCTCCAGGACTCTGCTTAGTCCTGCACTGACCATGCGCCCATCCCCGATCTGTCCGTCTCACTCACCTTCTGCCCAGTCCTTCTCCCTCTCT